AACTTACGCACTCGCATTTGTGAGAATACATTCAGCCTTTGAAAAATGAATTTTCAGAAATACAATAAGCGATGTTTAACTCATTTTTCTTTGGTCGTTTATTATGTGGTTGACATTCGTTTTACTAGTGATGGCGATAGCCGAATTGCCTACAGGCATCATCTCGTGCGGGCCTGTTTGATAGCTATAATAACCTATACTGGCACAAGCTGTTAGGCAGACGGTGTGTGCCCCAGATCGCGTGTCCACCCATCGCTGCACACGCGGCAACAAAGCGTTCGTCGAGTGGTAGCACCTGCCCACGATGCGCGGCCCCCGAATTGATGCAGCTTCACACAACCCCATTCATCGCGGGACCCCGTCCGTCACAGTTTCGGGCTGGCCACATCGCCAGCGCTCGACAGACAATGCAGCACCCGCACTGCACTGGAACTGCGTCGTCAGTGCCACGCTTAAGAGTCGAAAATATACAAACTCATGACTTCCAGTACAGTTATTATTGGCACAATCAATTTTGCGCGCTCCTCTATTTTCCACCTCGTGAAAATAAATTTTATCTATTTTTAAATAGACCTATTACAACATAGATTGTATCAAAATGTGTTATATATTGGAATCGATCGGAATTGCTGCATCGACTTCTATTTACTATACTAGAGGGTTACTAAAGCCCTGGTGTACCGATGCTGCCCGCTAAACCAAGCTCTGTCTGCGGTGTTCGTATCCGGTTCGCACGCCAAAATAAATATTTCGACTGTTCGAGTGGGGAAAGTATATGAGACGAATGAACTGTGTGCTCTTGCCAAAAATATCAACCACACAATGTGTCTACTTCGTCCTCTCCCGCATGTACAGTCCGCGCCTCTGTCGCATGTCCAACTGTGGGATGCCACGTCTGTCCTGCAGAGCACCAAAAACTGACCCGCTCACATTCCGGTCGGAGGCTTGTCTAAAAGATTGATAGAAAATGTCATACTGTGTAACTCCGACAGTAATAAGAAACTCTTTCCGCGGTCATGGATTCATAGTCACTTACGTCACTCTTATGCATTAATGCAAACTCATCTAGAATCGTTAGGTTGTTACAAATTTTTGGTATGACATGGAATATTGTGAGAGCGACTGTTTTGTCACACTTTACACGCCGGCTTTAGCACGAAGTGTATAGCTTGAAATCTTGGGCTTGAATCGTTATTTAGGATGGTAGGATGTACAAACACCTATATCTAAATTTGCTATGTCGTTGAGCTAAGTAGGAAAATAGAGAATGAGAGATGCGCCCTACATTTGTGGCTATAGGACACGCTGCCTGCGTACAGACCACTCGTGCCGGGGATGATAAAATGATCAGGAGAATCTGTGAAGATTTAGAAGCGATCGTCATTGTCAGAATGTGGGACCATTACATTGCAAAAAAGTGCGATAAATGACCAAGGGACAGCCAATCGTCGAGGTGTTCTCGCGGCACGATTTACGAACCTGTCAACGAAAGAGCATCGACCTCAAAATACCCACTTAGGGAGAGGGAAGCATTAGACAGAAAATTCCGGAGAGAATGGATTAGTTCTCGTAATCCTTACGAGAAAAAGAAAGAAGAAGACGAAGAAGAAGAAGAAGAAAACGAAGGAAGGGAGGAACGCCGACGACGGACGAACGACGGACGACACGACGACGACATCGAAGAAGAAGAAGAAGAAGAAGAAGAAGAAGAAGAAGAGAAGAAGTAAGAGAAAGAAGAAGAAGAGAAGAAGCAAGAAGAAGAAGAGAAGAAGAAGAGAGAAGAAGAAGAAGATAGAGCGAAAGAGAGGAGAAGGAAGAGGGGAGGCGGGCAAATTAAAATAATTAATAAGAAGGAAGAACGACGGCGTCAGACGATAACTGGACGACTATGATGATGATATAACGATAATGATGATGATTGATGAATGATGATGATGATGATGACTGATGATGATTGATGATGATCGACTGATGATGGTGATAATGATGATGCCCCGCGATCGCATGATCATAATGTATGAATAAAGCGAAGGCAAAAACAGGAAAAGAAGAAGGAAAAGGATGAAAAAAGAAGAAAGAGTGTAAGAGAGATACGAGCGGCGCTATGAGGAGAAGGATGTACGATGAGAGGTATGTCATCTAAGGATACAAGGTCCTACTTACAGCTACGCTTTCTCGTCATCCTTTCCGGCGCAATCGTATTTCACCATCGCACAACACGTTCTCGGTATGCAGTAGCCGTCCTCTGACACTTACTCTTCAGTTCCCATTATCTGTACTGGATTCTTCATCTCATGGACATACTTTCATCTCGGCAGACAGGCGAGAAGGATAGTGACATTAGTCGTTGTGGCTTCCTATACACAAATCAGGCATGGACATACTGCTGGCGTGTACTAGAAGGCGGCGGCATGACAGGGCGAGGCTCGGGTGGTAACGGGTGCAGGGAAAAGCTGCATATTAGCGAGGCCAAATATTTGACACTCTAGGGCCGTCGTACTTGCAAGAGGCCTTATTCAAGATCACGTGAATTCGCGTTCTGACAAATCAAAAAGCTTTAACCCACTTCGGGTTACTTTGATCGTTTTTTATTATAAGGGGTCTCAAAGACTGTAAGCTGTACAGAGCAAGAGATTCTGGACTTAACGTTGCGCAAACATAAATCTAATCATTTTCGTCCTGTTGGGACGCTAATCCCAGATGGTTGCTCAATCGACACCAGTAGATAAGTTAGTTTTGCCTCTGATGCCAGCTGAGAACTTGATACACATGAAGTTTAGGCTACCTCGGATTCTCTGCCCACGGTTTTTTCTTTCCACTCCGTATGTACATGCTATAACAATCACTGACGATATATACTCGTTGTTGGAGTGACCATTATAATACAATTTTACTTCTCTTGATACACGTCAACAACAGCCATGGGCACACACAGTACCGGTTGAGTGATTGTAGAGACGCTCGAAACAAGTCACAGGTTGTTGAACGACTGCGCTACGCACCTACCCACCACATTGACGCATGATTTGCATTGAGGGAAGCAGTGCTCCTTGACTCGAACGAAACGCGTGAACTAAACCACCCTACACGGTCTATCGCTGATTTAACGACTACGGCAGCCACATATGGCACGACAAAACTATAAGACCAACTTAGTAGAAGCGGACAGGCGCAGAACGCACGTACACCAACAGCAGACCAACAGCAACACCAGCACGAGCCGACACCAACATCGTGAAACAGACCATGCACGATCAATTAACGACACAAGTCAGGCGCCCAACACAACAAGAAGGTTAACAGCGGCAGATGCTTGAATTAGCAACAGTCGGCCCATAAATGAACTCTCCTCAGTACGTATGTGCTAGATTAGAAACTTATTACTAGTACGTGTAACCGCACCCGAGAGATCTCCAAGATGATGACAAGGACCAAAGAACAACATTCAGAACCAACAGCAGAACCAACACCAGAGCAACAGCAAGTATACAGGCTGAAGTGACATCTAAAAAGAATTCCAACAGGCTAAGAAGCCAACTGCAGTAAGAAAAATCCAGTTAGCCAACGTGGATTAAGGCACGCATGACACTCAGCATATAACCGCGACGGTGCCGAGAGCAACCACCGTACACACGGGTGTAATACACCATTGTTACTGAAGGACATAGTCAGGACGGGAGGGGCGGTACCCAGTATTATGGCTTACGAGGCCTCAGTAACATAGGCACGAGTCCAGAGAGTGACGCTCAGAGGACTAATATATATTCACGGTGAGGCGTTCTCGTGGACAGCACTGAGTAGACAGTGGCTTGACGATTCAGGGCCTAGACATAGCCGAGGACAGAATCCCTAGTCGTTGCAGAGAAGTGCCCCTATACAGTATTCAGTCAAGACAAACGCGGACAGGTAACCGGATAACCGATGTAGCTGGGAGCTCTTGAATTGCTACATACGCACCATTCAGATAGCGTTGGACTGCCTCGTTCGCAGGGTTGAAGTGGGCGTTATCGTGCATGGGGTAGAACCAATCGCATGTACGAGTAATTCCTCGCTGTCAGATACGCGTGATGCCTCAGGATCAAGTCACGTTTCTCAGGCCAGAGACCGATTTCGCCATACGAGCACATACCAGAGCACAATGCAGGACACAAGGGGTCGCTAGATGCGATTCTGGTCGTCCTCACGGCCTGAGTGCGCGTCGACGAAAGCAATCGAAGCAGAAACCACTATAGCCAGCTAGTCAGCATGATAGAGTGAAGTGTCAGGTGACAAACCGGATACTCAAACTTAAATATCGTCGTGTTCGACCGTGCGTATCTCATGACGTGATATGTTCTGTTGCTGGCGCGTAATCGAGTAAAACAACTCGAGCCTATTGATCAATCGAGGTGGACAGTGAATCTGTGGTCGCTAAGTCTCTAGTCAGACGTCGGAGGTTTAAGCACGCTATACAAGACAACAGAGAACCAGAACGAGCTACGTACTCATACTTGCTCGCGCAACAGAGCAATCAGATACCACCAGCAGTGTAGAGACAGACCTTCAGCGAGTACCGCCGCAACCAGCGATACTTGAGACAGGACAGCACGTGGACGCTCATAAATGTGACAGTGAGTGATGCCCTGAGGCTGTGTATACAGCTCTACGCCACACCGATGTCACTACATTGCTGAGTCGAACACGGCAAAAGCCTGCTGCTGGATGTTATATGCGATAGAGCGAGACGAAAATGGGCAGAGACTGACTGACATCGATTCAAGGATTGGATGAGTGAGTTGGAGATGCGTAGCTCACGTTAATGAGATCACCCAAGTGGTTAGTCTATCTGGTAGTTCGAGGTCATATGTAAGGCTACATTCCGGAAGATCGAGTCAGCAATTCGTTTGTGCGGCTGTAGGCAAACTCCATATGACAGAATAGGACATGTGCGCCAGATAAGACGCCCAGATGTCTTGATCCGCCTCGCAAACTACCTACTGTCTATTGGCATGTCAACATAGCTCTCTTGACTCTAACTGCTATTTCTTCGCTGTACTCGAGCACACTGGACCTGAGAAAAGCGACTACGGAAGCTCGATTCGGGGATTCTCGCTGGTTCGGAGAGTTCGCAACACACTGACTATACGAGCGGTACTCCTACGCACTGAGGCTATACGAGCAGGTCACATAGGCTCAAGACTTAGGGCAGTTACCAACTTTCTGGGCACAGAGCGTCAACCCAGGTCGAGGGAACCTTCATACTGTACTGTAGGATAGCAACAGGTAGAACTCCGCAATAGCTGACGCTGAATCATAGCATTCTGTGAGCAGAGCCATCTAGGCAGGAGGTTCTTCCTGTTGCTTCTAGCTGTTGATTACTTCTGTTGATTGCTGCTGGATGGCCTCTAACGGAGCTGCTACTGCGCTATCTACTGTTTAGGTGTTGTTGTGCTTCTGCAGATGCTATGCTCGCCGGTTCCGCACTCCTACTGCCTATTGGATATCTGTTGTTGCTCATCTCGCCAAGCAGAACCACACCCGACACCAAAGCCCACAAACACAGAAGCACAGCCAGAGAACAGGAGACCGAATCACGCAGAGCAACAACCAGAACCACAGTAGACGCCAACCGCAGATCAACAGAAGAAGACTGCAGGAAGACCAACAGCAGACCCAGAATCAACTGCGGAAGCAACAGTCAAACCACAGTAGAGCCACCGCAGAAGCAAGCAGCAAAAGGAACAACAGAACCAACGCCAGAAGCATTCAACAGAACCAACAGCGAAGGCAACTGCAGAGCAACTGCCAGACAGCAACACACAGAGACCACATCAGTGATATGGGGCCACCTCAGATGCCATTCCTAGGGTTGTTCGACCTTTATTGCTGTGCCTTGGCTATATCAACGCGCACGCGATTAGATACGAGACTCAGCAGATAGACCTATGAGTTCAGGGTGCTGGTGACAGGATTACCCGACAAGGAGGTAGATTCTGCTGTTGCGAACATGTTCTGCAGTTGCGTATATCCGCTGTATGATTCCATAATCCAACTGCCCGTAGAGCGTGCGTCATAGTTGGTTCTGTTGTTGTCTGCAGTTGATTCGTCTGTGCTTTCTGCTGTTGTTCTGCTGTTGCTTCTGCTGTTGCTTTTGCCTGTTGCTTACTGCTGTTGGATCTACCTGTTGGTTCTGGCTCGTTGATTCGCAGTGATTCTGCCTGTTGGTGTTCTGCTGTTGGCTTCAGCGTTGGTTCTGTTGCTGCTTCTGCTGTTGCTTCTGCTGTTGGCTCTACTGAGTTTGGTTCTTGGCTGTTGCGTTCTGCTGTTGGCTTCTTGCAGTTAGGTTCTGGGCTGTTGCATTCAGCTGCAGTGGTTCTGCTGTTGCTTCTGCTGTTGGCTCTGAGTGTTGGCTCGTATGGTTGGTTTCTGCCTCTTGCTCTGTGTTGTCTTCGTATGTTTGTTCTGCTGTTGGTTCTACTGTTGGTTCTGATGTTGGTTCTGATGTTGGTTTAGCTCTTGGTTCTTCTGTTGTCTTGTATGTTGGTTCTGCTGTTGTCTCGTATGTTAGGCCTGATGTTACTTCTACTGTTGTCTCATATGTTGGTTCTGCTGTTGCTTCTGCAGTTGGCTCTGCTGTTGCTTTTGCCTGTTGCTCTGGTGTTGGCTCGTATGTTGTGTTCTGGGCTCTTGGCGGTCTGCCTGTTGTCTCATATGTTTGTTCTGCTGTTGAGTTTCTACGTGATTCGTTCGTGGATGTTGGTTCTGCTGTTGGTTTAGTCTTAGGTTCTTCTGTTGTCTTGTATGTTTGGTTCTGCTTGTTGTCTCGTGATGTTAGCCTTATGTTATCTTCTTTTACTGTTGGCTCATATGGTTGGTTCTGCTGTTGCTCTGCAGGCGTTCGGGCTCTTCTGCTGTTTTGTTTGCTGTTGCTCTGGTGTTGGCCTCGTTATGTTGGTTCTGTCTCTTGCGCTCTGTGTACTTGTCTCGATATGTTGGTTCTTGCCTGTGAGTTCTACGTTTGGTTCTGATGTTGGTGCTCTGGTGTTGGTTGGTAGCTCTTGGTCTTCTGTTGTCTTTGTATGTGGTTCTCTGTTGTCTCATATGTTGGTTCTGCTGTTGCTTCTGCTGTTGGTTCTGATGTTGGCTCGTATGTTGGTTCTGATGTTGCTTCTGCTGTTGGTTCTGATGTTGGTTTAGCTGTTGGTTCTGCAGTTGGTTCTGCTGTTGGTTCTGATATTAGTTTTGCTGTTGGCTCTGGTGTTGGTTCTGCTGTTGGTTCTGATGTTAGTTCTGCTGTTGGCTCTGGTGTTGGTTTTGCTGTTAGCTCTGATGCTGGCTCGACTGTTGCTTCTGCTGTTGCTTCTGTTGTTGGCGCTGATGTTGGTTCTGATGTTGGCTCTGATGTTGGTTCTGCTGTTGGTGTTGCTGTTGGTTCTGCTGTTGGTGTAGCTGTTGGTTCTGCTGTCGTTTCTACTATTGGTTTTAGTTTTGGTTCCATAGTCGCTGCTGTAGTTATTGGTTTTGAGGTGGTAGTTTTCGTAGTCGTCGACGTCTCCATCATGGTCATTGTGGGAGGTCGTGCCGCAAATGTTACAGTTTTCTCCGGTAATGTCACTTAAAAGTAAAATTGTATATATACTAACTAACGATATATATATAGTTGTACAACGGAAAAACGGGAAAATAGTGCTATTTTACGGCAATATTAGTCTACTTTACCTGCAAGTGTAAAATTATTTTATGGTATTGCATTAAGCAGAATTCTTTGCTCTCTAAAACAAGACCAACCGCTTGTCAATACGATACTCCTAGGCTGAGATATTGGCTCGTAAACCTTCCCTCCCACAGGCCTCACGGCGCCTCGCATCCACAATATTCACTATCCTTCTCGTGTGAAGTATAATGAAGAATCCAGTAAAGAATAATGGGAACTTAAGATTAGAAAATACTCGCTTAACCGTTTGAGGAGTTTTGGGTATGTAATCTACCTGAAATGGCTGGAAATGGCATTTCAGAGCTTCTATATTTCAAAATTCCCCCAGACCCCCCTAGAAGCGAGCGCCTCTGGCACTCGTTCATCTTGCCCCCCCCCCCATACATTAATTCCTAGCTACGGCCCTGAGGATAACGCATTCATTTCGTAAAGACCTACCGAGACAGCTGGATAGATCATCACTAAGGAATTCTCCTGGAGGGCATTTGCACCTGTGCTCGTTAGAAGCAAAGATCCATTCGCACTCGTGACCGCAGTTGCCGTTGTTCAGCTTACATTCATTAATGTATTCTGTCAAATAGAAGAAATACGCGCGTGGTTTTGTTTCTTGGGTGTATAATATGTATATAGTTTATTATATATTATACAGTGCAGTATATAGTTTAATTCTATAACGTAATTAGGAACAAGTAGCGCCTACTACCGTCGTGCATATGGTTGCTATGAAATGAAGATTGTTTACTATGACTTGTGTGAACATTTTCGTAGCTATCAGGATCGAAACAATGTAGGAATGTCATTGACGACAGCGTCAAGGACGCGCTTGATTGGCTGCCATGATGGTGTTTCATTTTTCAGTTTCGTGCTCGGAAAGAAAAAGCGATAGCCATGTCAATACGACAAGTGATATAACGCGGGTTTTAAAATCTCGAACGACAATATTCTCTTTGCCTGGATGCTCCCGCAAGTTATCGTCTTCGAAAACCTACGTTCTAATCCGACAGGGAAGTCCGGGAGTATCTGTAGTGCCCCGATACTATTGTCGTTCATTTCTGCGTAGGCGATAAGTATCTCCGAAATGAGGATGACCATCTCGCTCTCGTTCACCTGTTTCTTGGGCTCGACAGCAAACCTTGCTTTCACACTACCTGGGCTGAATTGAATTAGAACGCACAGGCTTGTAAGTGAAAGTGTCCTGCCTGGCTTACGAATAGCCGGTGTATATTCGCGTAAATTACCTCCGCCATAGTGGCGTTATTACACGCACAACCGTTTTAGTGGAACGAATGTTATGATGACATTATTTATTTAGACAAAATATTTAGACTTATTGCCAGCACACTGCATTGCGATGCATACAGACCTGTTGTCTGTATGATTCAGGCTGTGCTCCCGCCACATAATCGCGATTTGCTATTAATGATACCTGAAATGTAGTACGTGGACTTTACGGATGTCATCTGCGATATTAGGGCTGTGTTGAAGAACTTCGTAAACCTGAGGAATGAAAAACGATTCTTGAATTCGGGTGATCATGCAGGGTCTAATTAACGCAACTAAGCGGTGAGAGGCACATTTCATGCCAATAACTATTAATTACAAAATAGTGTGTGCTATAGAGCTATAAATAGACCCTCTCTCTCTCTTTCTCTCTCTCTCGCTATATATATATATATATATATATATATATATATATATATATTATAATATATATTATCAATGCAATAATGGTGACATGTATTATTGTGCACAGCCTGAATTGCGTTGTAAAAAAAACGCTTTAATGATTTTTGATAACTCCCTCGTTTATCACTTCCTTTTCAGTTGTTGTAGTCGTTTGACGTTGGATCTTCGATAGGTTCTTGATGAATTCTCGGATTAACTATCGTTTATGCTCGGCCTACTATCACCATCCTCTGTGAAATTAGTGATGACAGCCGGGTATCACACACAGACATCACACATCCTATAGTCTGCTATGGCTGGCTATGCTATCCTATAAGGATGCTTATGCTGAATCTGCCTACATACTATACTACTGCCGATATCGCTCAATAATACGCAGAGTTGCATTTTGTATATTCTCGGAATTGAATGGCAGATATTAATTTTAATAGCGGTAACTCGTGCTTCATGCGGGCGACGATACCTGCGATGTGTCTGTACCAACGTCTACGCGCAATATAAATCTGGGCCACTGTGCTGCTACTATGCTATAACTGCTATCAAAACGATTGCCATTCGCGGCGAGCAGCTTATAATATGTGTACACCATGGGTTTGGCGCTTATGTGTTTCTACCCAGTCAAAAAGCAAACCAAGCTGACAGTAACAGAGATCTACAATCTCGCAACAGACGTTATTGCCGTTCCTGAAGCAATTGAACCATTTCTCGGATTAGGCTAACTCTCCATTGTTGAGCATTAGCATTCTGCGTCTGCCCAGCATCATCGACATATCCTAACCGATGGTATGCGCACACGGAGGCAGAGCATGAAGGCTATTTGCCTGCATCAAAATTTTTAATATAAACGTGTTTACTTAAGGAATCCGGCTCTCTGGTCCTTACGGCGGTTATAATTACTTATAGTATGTGCTAATACGGCAACCAACGTGGTCGTCTGTCGGTCCAGACCGCCGTGGCGGGCATTCCTTGCTGGAATATCCGCATGCAAACGCGCTAGCTATACTAGTTTATCCTTCAGCTAGTGCGTGAGCTTGGCAGAGCTTATATACTTAACCTGCATTCACGCTGCGCATCGGACTCGTGTACGCATGTTCTGCAGGGCCACTTTGGTGCCTCCCAGCCTACGATAGCTATAGTGGCAGAATAAATGGACATTCTCATGAGTTGCTTGCAGGAAGCCTAGTCGGGCAGCGCGTTTTGTGATTTTTGATTCCTACTAGAATATCTTAACGGCCTTAACGCTGACAGCATGGAAACTGAATAGAATTTTGACCGAGTCTCCGTGCCTGCTGACCGAGAGAGAGGCGCTTGGTCAGTTCTTAAGGTATCCGACTAAAACTTCTATGCCTCAAAGCCAGTGTTAAAAATAACATGGTTTTTCTTTGCTTGACTGAGCGTGACGATTACGTGGGGTCGTGCCCACCCTTAGCGACTCCCCTATACGTGCCGTATGGCACCACGCATGAAATAAAAAGCATTACCGCCGTGTACCCTATACGTGACCCAGTGACTCCTTCAAGATTAAACTGACAAACACAAGCGTTGCAGCAAGATTGCCCCGCAGCCAACAATGCGCGGGGGGGGAGGGGCGGCGTATCGCAAAAGTTCTACTCTGGGCACTCCGGTGTGAGGCAGTGGGAGAACCATCAACGGCCGCGGTAATTAACGAGTCAATTTTTACTTGACTCTCAGAAACATTTAATCAAATTTTTCATGTGTACACTGCCACTTGGGTCCTGTTCCTGGACGCGGCTGAGTTAATGTTCCTTGCATTGATCAACCCGGCTGCAAATAAAAAAAAACACAATCCGATTAGGTGCAGAAGTGAATGCTTTCCATATGATCATCGGTGAGAGATATGGTGTGCTAACCGCCATGTACATGTGCAACTGTGCGCTCATCTCGAGCGCGTCCGTGCCCCGCTACTCAATTTAATAAACAATTCCCGGAAAGCGCATTGTTTGTGAATGACTCTCGCACAATGACGTCATTATCATCCGTGTAAACCTTATTATGAAAAATGTTACTGCCTCCCGTTTACTGTTAATTTTTCGTATTACATTTCATACTGCGCCACACGCTTGATGTGATCATAGTCGTAAGCCATATGTGATATAATTTAATAGCGTGGAAATACACCTTTGGTACTTTTTTTCAAATTTCAAAACCTTAATTTATTGGCTTCGTCATACATATCAAATTACCGGGCGTATCAATTTGCTAAACAACAGTAGAATTACAGTAAAATTTCTAAATATCTCTTATAAGGCAGCTGACTCACGTAAAATCGGATGAAAGAGTTTGAAGTTTTATTTAAATGCAAACAGCCACGACACAACGTGTCATGTGATTAATATAGACTCGTACATTGTAGTACTATATTAGCGTATGGGTGCTTTAATCACTTCTTGGAAGAGTCACGAGTTATTTTCTCGCATTCTAGAATCCATAGCGGCGTAAGCGCGGACAATCAACTCAAGCCATGTACTTGCGCGGCTTAACCATATATGCCCACACAGACACACCATGCTTGGGAAATTAAACACCAAGATATTTGCCCACCTCGGTGTCTCCGGCAAGCAGCACGTAGCTGACCATGACTCTCCCGTGTGTGCGGTAGCATCTACTAAGGCTATAAACGGCGCGCGCAAACATCTGCGAGGAACTGAGATAGAGTTCTTAATAACTTAACGCTTGAGTCATTCATGCGTAGGTTTCGGAGTCACGCAGGTGTCAGATATAAAGGCATACCCGCAGCAAATAATGGACTGCACATTGTCGTTTAAGGCCTATTTACCACGATGCGTCTTAGAACCTACGTCCAAAACACACCGCGTATGAACAATGCAAATGTATGACCCTTGCGATATCGAAATGGCAGAGGACGGATGTAATTTCTCTTAAGTAAATGTCCGGATCGTTTTTGAAAATCTCGTGTGTAAATGTTCTAAGGATTTCTTCGACATTTGCGTTTTGCATTAGTCATACACGGTGGACGACGTCTAGGACGCAAACAACCCATAACAGCGCTAGGCCTAAAACACGGCATAAACAGCAGACGGGCCATAAACACGACGATCGTAAGCATTGGCAAATTCTTTGGAAATAAATATCCGCTTAAAAATATAAAATGCGCTGCTGTACATTTGTACAGGAGTAAACACCAGAGTAACAACCATAGACTTACACAAAGTAGTTATAACGTAGGATGCGCAGGCGGTATAGTAGAAGGACAGAATCAACGAATAGAAATCGTGGGCAATCTCTCAGTTAAGGATACAAAGCAGGATATGTATAAGCAAAGCTCAACGCTCATAAAGTATCTAGAAACCTGATTCCTAAATAATTAATGGCACTACAGGTCTAGGTGATATTTAAAGTCCATAAGCCCTCTTCCATATTAAGATTCGGGCTCTGTGATTTTACTATACGTGGCCAAACTAAAGTTAAAGAAAGAAATATATGTAAGAATGCATACATATATTGGCTACTGTATTTCCGTACAGAGGTCACCGTGAGAAACACCGCCTGGACGCAGCGAGGTGACCAGGGTTTCCTATATTCCGCCCAACCAGATTGCGTGCTAGAAGTTTTAGACAAACAAACGTCGACCAACGGCGGCGATTTCCTGCTCTACTGCGCCTCGTATGCTGTTCGCCTTTGAAGCGAAGCAAAGTTTACACCACCATTCCCGGGTTCGTGAAATATTTCCCTTCCGGGTGTTTGGCCAAAGATCTTCAACGTAATGGGGCTGTGTGACACCAGCGATTGCCCTAAAACAGGGGCTAAGGTCCTTTGACAGCGGAAGCTTAACGGCTCCCCGATGTGTGTGTGTGTGTGTGGTGTGTGTGGTGTGCTGTGTGTTGTGTGTGTGTGTGTGTTGTGTGTGTGTGTTGCTGTGTGTGTGTGTGCTGTATGTGTGTGTGTGTGTGTGTGTGTGTGTGTTGCCTGGTGTGTGTGTGTGTGTGTGTGTGCTGTGTGTGTGTGTGCTGTGTGTGTGTGTGTGTGTGTGTTGTGTGTGTGCGCGCGTGTACGTGTGAGTGTGTGCGGTCGGCAGTTCGTGTGTGTGTGTGTGTGCTGTGTGTGTGTGTGTCGTGTTGTGTGGTGTGTGTGTGTGTGTGTGTGTGGCGCGCGCAGCGTGTGTGTGAGAGTGGAAGGCGTGGCAAAGGTATTCGACGAGTGTGGGGCTGTATATATATAAGGCCGCACGACAGAGCGGGGGCGCTAAACCTCTACATTTCGAGTAAAGGGGGCCAAAAGCTACAATCTAAAACAAAGTACATCTGGGGTTTTTTTCAGGCTATAAGAGATTAAAATTCATTTTAGCGTTTTTTACTCGAAAGGCATACATGATTCTTGATTATAGCTATGATAATAACTGTGGGATTGACAGCACAGATGTGACAGATAATTGAATCTTTTTATCTTGTGCAGAGTTATTTTCAGCCACACAATGTGAACAGCACGCGGGCCTACAGGTAGGCTACAGAAACACCAGATGCAAATGTCCTCATGGATTTCCCGACCGACGTTTAAATTACTGTTCTCCCGGCGCGAGCGCGGATAGTGGCTGTTAGCCCGATTCTCTCGAGCGCGAGAGGAAGGGCTGTAGCTTGCATGTAGAGGGGCGTGGTAGCCGCTTTCTCCCGGCGGAGGGAGAGGGGCTGTAGGGGCTGTAGCCCTTCCCCTTTTCTATTGTCGCCCTTGTGAACAGTAATGATTGGAACAACAATGTGAGCAACGCAACTGGTCGCCAATAGTGATGCACGTGCTGACAAACTGTCGCGTGTAAATGTGTAGGAGCTACATACAACTCTTTAAGGTGTGTCAATCCGCTTTCACGTTGGTAGGATCGGTGTGGAGTAACCGCAATTGCTTACGCTTCTTCCTTCCTTTGAACCATCAACCCTCGTATCGATCCTGTCCTTCACCTCACTCTCAGTAAATTTCACCACGCACAGTTGGGTGAAGGTGCGTAAATGACATGCTAATAGAGCAGATAAGGTCTATGTCCCACTTGACCTCTGTTTGAGCCTCGCTCGTTTAAGCTATTTCTGGACTAATAATATAGTATATATAATATATAATATATATAGGCCCGTTAGGGTTACGGGTTAGGGTTAGCGATTAGGTTAGGGTTAGGTTAGCTCAGAAATTAGCCTAACGAGCGAGCGTCAAAACAGAGGTCAGGGGGACATAGACCCTACGAGCCTAAACTGAGTCCCCCCGTGACAAGTCCCATAGAAAAACTCAGTAAGTACTCTTCTGTCTGACCGATGATTACCAATTGCATCGTGTATAGCTTACCTGGTGCCGCGACAACGTTCCCATGTTCGTTAATAGTATTTATTGTTGTCGATTCGCGCCGTGTTTACGTTTTACCAGAGTATCAGTGATTAATCACGATGCTGCGACGCAAGTGCACGGATGGTACGCGTACCACTTTCGCTTTGTTATCCCCAGGCCCAATAGCGACCAGGTGTGCGCGACTTATGTGTTCTGTGCGTGGTTAGCGCCGTTAGGTTCCCTTAATGTTTTCCGCTGAGTTCATTGCCTGCTGCACAACGCGTACGTTACCCCACACGCGACCTCACTGCTGTCAGACTCGTGACAAACAGAGA